CTCTCCCCTCCCAAGGCCAAGGCTTTCCTGCCCCAGGACCGTCACACCTGCTTGGGGCTCCTTCCCCGAAGCTCATGGGCAGTTCTGGATTCCTGGTCATCCGGACTTGCTGTTTCCACCTTTTAACTTGTGGCCCTGCTCTGCTGTCTTTACTGCGCACGTCGCTGTGCACTATCCTCTCGTCCCTGCATGGGTCCCCTGGGCGTGTGAACCACCACGGTCCACGTCTGATGGGTGGGCAGTGGGGTCCTCTTGCCCGCGCCTGTCCTGGGGGCTTGGCCAGAGGGCACCGGAAGGTTTCGCCTTCTGTCTTCCCACCTGTCGGGGCGTCTGCTCGAGGTGGCCCAGCCTCCCTGTGGCTCTCACGATCTCCCTCTAGCCTGACTTTAGAATCACACATTCCAGTGGGATGCTGCTCTCCCAGAGCGCGCAGAGCGGGAGTGGGCGGGGGCAAGGGCTGGGCCCCGGCGGAAGCTGGAGCCGCCATGCCCTCTACCCTCTGCTGCCAAGGGCGAGGGTTCTGCTTGAGGCCCACCTTATGGCTCCTCTGCAGCCAGCAGCCGCCAGGCCTCGTTGGTGCGCGAGGCTGGTGGCATTGCTATTTTACGCCTCACTACCTTCAGCAGTGTTGCTATTTGGTGGAAACTCTTCATATGAAAAATTAGGTCAAAACCTATATATTAATGATGCCAGGTAGGGGAGTAAACGACCTCACAGGCAGTTGCCCAGAGCCCTCACCTCCACGTTCTAAAGAGCTCTGGTGTTTGCCCATCCTCCGGGCACACTGCCCACCCGAGCTCACTCCTCAGGTCAGTCCCACTCCCCCCGCCACCGGCCAGCTTGTGTATATTCCAAGTCTCTGCTCAAATCTTGGAAGCCCCCAGACCTTTGTGATCGGGTTCGAATCCCTTGGACTGCTACATGGGAAGCTAGTTTCAGCTTTCACCACCTTTCCATCCCTCCTCCCCTAGTTACCAGGGTGGCCTGGGAGTCAGAATCTCCCCCGGGGTTTCTGAGCCTGCAGGTCGGGTCTGGTGCTGAGGACATGGGGCTGACCAGCTGGGGTCATCTCCCCTGTGGAGGCGGCCTACCTGCAAGAGGAGAAAGACTGAAACCAGGGCCAGACCAGCCGGTGTGGCGGGGAGGGCGGGCGCGGGCACGGGCGCGGGCACGGGAGGCGGCAGAGGCCTGAGCCCGGGCTTCCTCCAAGCATCCCTTTGTTTCGGGGCAAGTGCCCCTGCTTTGTCTAGTCCGAGCTGGGCTTCTGCCACAACCAAGCGAGCTCAGCCGGCCTGGCAGAGCCTGCACAGCCCAGACTCTTACTTTTTAACCCTCACCCGAGGATATTTTTTCTGTTGCTTTTCAGAGTGGACAGGAGAGACATAGATTGGTTGCCTCCCACACGTGCCCTGACTGGGGCCAGGGATCCAGTCTGCAGCCGAGGCACATGCCCTTGACCGGAATCGAACCTGAGACCCTTCAGTCCGTGGGCTGACGCTCCAACCACTGAGCCAAGCCAGCTAGGACCAGCCGAGACTCTTAATACACTTTTACTTGTATCCTGCACCACGGCCCGCACCCCATCCTGCCCTCTTGCAGTCCCAGTCGCACTGAGCTGGCCCCCTGGCTCCAGGCCCACGCTCTGTCTCCTTGTGTCCTTCCAGACCCACCTCTGGCCTGACTCCCCTGGTCCCATTCTTCCTCCTTTGTGTGACCACCTCACACGGCTGCCACTAGCCTCCAGCACCATGATTACTGCCACCGCGATGGACTTCTCCCCCCGCCCCCCGACTGCCTGCTCCTGAGGCCTGGGGATGGCCTGCTCTTCTGTCCTCGGTGCCAGAATGCTGCTTGCCCAGAACAGACTTGTGGGACTGAGCCCTTACCCTGTGGGATCTGACACTCCCTCAGGTAGACAGTGTCAGAACTGCAGTAAACTGTAGGACACCCAGCTGGTGTCACAGAACTGCTTAGTGTGGAATCCGCCCCCCACGGTGACCAGAAGTGTCAGTAGTATTCCAAGAACCTTGTAATGAAAAGGGAAACAATGGAGCTTTATCCTTAACACCTGCCATTACAAATGACCCGTGGTCACTGTGTGCATCATGCATCTTCGACCAGCTTTCTGCTGCCCCTTAGGACGGATTTGCAGAGCGGGATGACCAGGACCCAAGGTGCGCACACGCCTGTAAGGCTTGGTTTCTGCTGAGATTCGGTCAAGCTAAACTGCCAGCAGGACATCTCCCCATCAACACTCAGTACGAGTTTTAAACATGTTGCTATAATTTAGTTGGTAGCTTTGTTTCAACTGCATATTTTTGAGTATTATTAAGATTGTACTTTCTTTAAGGTTTATTATAAGCTTTTAAAATTTCTTTTATGATTCATTTGGAACAGATTGTTTACCTCACAGTCATGGTGTGACGAATGTCAAACCCAGACAATACTGCATAAATGTCACTGATCAGAGATCCTTCCGGCAAGCCGGGACCGGGGATGTTTCTGGTGTTGGCTGTTGGGATCTGCCTGCCTGTCTTCAGCCACAGGGCTGGGGAAAGTCTTAATGGTCGACCACAAACAACAAACCACATTTATATAAACAAAACCAACACGTTTTATATAACAAAATAGATGCACATGGAAAGCACAATGTTTGGGCCTCTCCCCAGAGTAGTGACCTGGGGGGATGGAGCCGGCAGGGGGAGGGGGCAGGAGGGGCTTCTAGGTGCTGTGAGGGTTCTCTTTCTTGCTTTGGGAACAGTTTCCTGGGAGGGTGCACAGGGGAAATTTGTCCAGCTTAGAAGATTCCGGGCAGTTCTGTGAAGTGGGACTGCACCTCGGCAACGACAGCGCAGACAGAAATAGAGCTCAGCTCCAGTGTCGTCCAGATACGCCAAGGCTGTGGGTTCGATCCCCATCAGGGCACATTCAAGAATCAACCAATGAGGCATGAATAAGTGGAACAACAAATCTCTCTCTTTCTCTCTCTCCCTTCCTCTCTAAAGTGAACACATAAAAGTAAAAAAAGAAACGTCCCCAGACTCCCCATTACCAGCAGAGGTCTGGGCTCCCCAGCAAGCTGATAGGGACCTTCCCCTCGACCAGGGCCATGCCGACCTCTCCAGAGCTGCAGGTTACGGTGTCTAGAGAGGCCCAGTCATAACAAACAAGTATGTAACAATGGTGATGATTACTGAGATCAGTGACAGCTACTGTTGGTGGAGCAGCAGGGCTCTGCACACACTCCACCACGCAGACCCTCCCTCTGTGACGACAATGCTCCCAGTTTTCCAGGTGGAGACACACTTGCCACAGATCACAAGGCAGTTAAGCAACAGGGCCAGGTTTAAACCCAGGCAGCCAACCTCAGAGCCCAGGCTCTGCCAGGGCACAGGCTGCCTGCCTGTTCGTGTCCCAAACACGTCAGGCCTCATGACACCTATGACTCGCAGTGTGACCTAGTGTCCTTCTGGGCTCTCGCCTGCCTGCCTCTGCCGCACATACCTGACCCGGCACTCCTCGCAGTGTCTGCCCAGCGCTGGAGCTTGGCCCCCAGGGAAGGCTTCTTCAGGGCCCAGGCTAGTCAGCTTGTCACCAGGTTCCAGGATCCAGTGCCAGGCTGGGCACAGAGCACACCTATGACCACCAGAAGCTGACCGAGAAGCTCAGGTCGAGGGCCCGCACATAATGCCAGTATTTAACCGGGATGAACAGGAGCTCTCCAGGGGACAGGATGCAGGACAGGAATGGGGCCTCAGCAAACTTGGGGAACTTCTCTAAGTCAGGATTCTCCACGTCAACCTGAGGAAAGCAGAAGTCACGTGCCTGGTCTCTTGAGATGGGGTGGGGAGAGGGGCTGCGATGCCACACTGGGTCCCACCTGGCTTGTGTTATGAAGAAGGTGCGTGTCGTGAGGATACAAAGCTTCCGACTCCTGTGGGGAATACAGCCGTATATACTTCCTCCCGAGGACCTGGAAGAGAGACCCGTCCATCAGTGGGCTGGTGACCTCACCTCCCACGGCTCCCATCCTGACTGCAGGCCCCGGAGCCCACACCCTCCCTTGCCTCTCTGCACCTTTCCGTATGCTGTTCCCTGTGACCAGCCAGAGCCATCCCCACCGCACACGTGCTGATCCCAGGGGGCTTCCCTCCAGATACATTCTAACCCAGTGAGCTCGGCACTGTGGCTGACAGCTAGGCACTTTCTGTGGCAGCCACCATTCCAGTGCCTTACGTGGACCAGCTCTGACCCTCACAGCAAGGGATGGGCAGTCTGCCTCTGTGCACAGGTCTGCCTGGCTGGAAGCATGTTCTCATCGGTTTGACCCTCTGCTTAGGAAAACCTAAGGTGGCTTTGCAAGCTGCCCTCCCTTTGCCATCTTCAGGGTCTCAGGAAAACCATTAGGGATATCCCTCATTTGGAGAGAGGGTTTTGGCAGGGAGAAGCCAGCAAGGCCGGGGGCAGGAGGGGAGAGGAGCTCGCTCCATCCCACCCAGCTGCTCTGGCCCTGCTCTGTGGGAGAGGATGAGCCGGCTCCAGGAAGCACACCGGGAAGCAGCTCCCCACACGCCCCCAGCCTGGTGCTCTTCCTGTCTCCAGGTGTCTACAGCCAGGCCAGTCGGTGCTGCAGCCCTGCTGTGTAAAGGTAGGTTGTGTGGTGGGCTCGGGGCTGGGCTGGGAGTGGAAGAGGGTCGGTGCTCTGGAGTGACTCCCACCTGGGCCAGGAAGTTCTGCTGGGGATCCTGATGAAGGGGGGACACGGTTCCTGGGGGCCCAAACCAGGCATTGACGGTGATCTCTTCCTCCTCCCCATCGCCCAGGCAGCAGTAGTCAGGAATGCTGATGTCCTGCTTCAGCTCCGGGACCTGTGGGTGGCAGAGCAGACAGGAAGGCTGAGACCAGGCCTGGGGGCGGCGCCAGGCCAGAAGTCAAATGACTGTGACAGAAGGGCCAAACACACAGTCCTCTTGTGTAATAACATGACTGTACCCACAATTGCTGTCACAGGAATTAAAAACTTGATTTAAAAAATACATAATCACTAGGAAAGTGTTACAATTTTATTTTCAGATTTGTTTCCATGTCACATTGTTACAAGGCAGCAAGGAGCTAAGGAAATTCCAGGGCAGGTGGAATAGGGGAACTGAGACAGGGAAGTTGAAACAAGGCCACACAGTGTGGGCAATCTGCAGCCAGCCTGCAAATAACAGGCCATTATCTTCCCAGCCAAGGGCACGTGAGAGAAAGGGTTATGCCCTCCCTAAGGAGAGATGCGGGAAAGGAGGGGAAGGGCAAAGGAAACCAGGGCGGTCTCACTCCCTAAGCAGAGAAGCCAGCAGCCTCAAGGTTTGGCAAAATAAAACCGCCAGGCGCTTCTCAGGAGTTCTGGGAAGGCCAAAGTAAAAAGGGACCTTGAGAATTAATCTGAACCAAAGTACTCAGCAGAGGGATGCTGAGGCCTGCAGACAGCAGGGTCTATAACGCCCGGGACCCCACCCACCTCGCCCTTCAGGTGAGCCGAGAGCAGCCTGTGCTTCACCCGCTGGATGTGTGGATGTGCTCGCCCTGCTGCTTTAACAAAGGTGCTCGCTCTAACTGCTGTAATACAATCGGCTTTTCACAGCGCAGCCAGGGTTTCTCGTATAAATGCACTGACATGAGAAGACAAGGGTCGAGGTTGGGGACAGTCCTCTCCAGCTGACTCAGGGGCTGCCTGGTAGCACCTCTCTGGGGCCCCTGGGGTGTGCCTCTAATGATATGCATTTTTTGTTTGTTTCCTTTTTAAAAAACCTAATACCAGTGCTTTGTACTGTGCTTAAAGATAAACCAGTTGGTAATTTTCTAAAGAGTTAATTATTTTTAAAAATCAAGTTAAGGAACAAACAAAAAGAAAATGGGATTGACTTTTACATCTCTGAAGGGAAAATTGCCCAAATTTACTAATGGTAGAGCAATGACAACAGGGATGTGCTAAGTAATTTAATTATAAAGACGAGTAGACTAGGAAACCTACTTGAACTAGTCTGGTAAAGAAGGGTTAGTGTACACAGTTCATACCAAATAATAAGAACCCAAATACAAAGGACAAAGACGAGATTAATAAACAAAAATGAATTAGATATAAGGGCGTGATTCAGTCGCACTAGCAGAAAAATCCGAAGGAAATGTTTTCCTTTCCCGCTAATCAAAGGAGCAGAGACTGAAGAAGTGTGGCACCAGCCCGTGGGTGAGGAAGTGGTGGAGGGGCGGGCGCTCTCCTGCAGGGCTGCCTGTGGGCCAGCGGTGAAGCCACCCCATCACAGGTGTTCGAGCCTTTACATTCTTTGACCCAGATGGTCCCTGTGCTCCTGTGTGGGGGCACTGGGGTGCCTCAAGGAGGTCACAGGTCACACAGCTCGCAGCTCACAGCTCACAGGAGGAGGCTGCAGGAGACAGCTACCTGCCCGGGGCACCATCAGTGTCTGATGTCAGCAGCCTGACGAGATGCGCTCCAAGACTGCCGCCACCTTCTCCTCCAGTGCCTCCTCACCCCTACCTCCTCCCCAGCCCACGCCCTCTTTGGAAAAGGCATTCTGACACCTCTGTCTCAGGGGAAGGGTGAAAGGGGAGGGCACCTAAAATTAAGGTGTGGCTTCTAGGCTTTCTCCTTTTAAAAGCCCAGGAAGGTATAAAGCATGTTTCCAGAGGTGGCAGAAACAGGTGGGGCATAGAAACCATCTGATGAGACAGCAGGCCCTGAGTTTGCGCTTAATGCAGTGAGGGAGGCCACCTCTTCGACATTTTCACTGCAAGCTCAGCACATTTTATGCTCACAACCAGATTTACCTTTATGGCTTTAACACATGTGATTCTTTTAGGGCCCAGGCTTCAGTTTCTCTTTAATTTCCCAGAGCCTCAGGGCCAGTGCCAAAACAGCAGGTTTGGGCAGGGTGGCACTGGTTTTGGCCTCATTTGGAAAGAACCAGCCAGCGGCTCACTGAAGACATCTCTCACTCTGAATGAACCCACTTCCTGACCTGACCTTCAGTGCGGACCCCACCAGAGCCAGCCTACAGCCCCATGCTTAGGGTGTCTCCTGGTAGGACAATCTCTGAACCCAGTGGCATTTTCCAAGCTTGAGAGGCATGGAAACAAAGCTGCCCAGGAACTGCCTCTGCTACTCTACTCAGGTATTTTCAGAGTAAGCACCCTGGTCTCCAGGGTACCACAGGGAGACTGGCCATTCCTTCGGTAGCAGCTACTCCCAGTTCCGGTTGCTGGTTAAGAAAGTGCTGATCACTAAGAAGAGCTGGAATGTTCTGCAGGCAGCCCTGCAGTCTGTACTCTAAGTTGGCCTCAAGCAGCCTGTGTGGAAACGGTGCTGTGTGCGCTGCTCTGGGCGAAGGTAGCAGGTCCCTGTCCCGTGTGGGGCCCTCAAGCTGTGTGCAAGATTCCAAAAAACTCTGGGAACCTCCCCACAGCAGCTTCCCCAAGGCCACACGCCCTAAGGAATGCTGAGAAGCTGACTGGTTACTGATGACATCATCAGGATTTCCGAAAGGTGATTGGTCGATGTTATCAAAGCACTGGCCAAGGATTCCAAGACCCCAAGAGAAGAAAGCTCCTGCAGTAAGACTTATAATTAAAAACAGGCCTAGTTTACTTGCCAAAATATTCTAAAACACGGGGTCTCTAGGAAGAAAGTAAGTGATTTGGGGGCAAGTGGTTTTGAGTGGGAGCCACTGAGCTTCAAATGGGCAGAGAAGGCCCAGAAAGCAGTGCAGAGGCCTGCCAGGCACCCTCTGCGCCAGGGCGATGCCCCAAGGTGGGCTGCTCAGACTTCCCCTAACAGAGCTCTGAACAGCAGAGGTGAAAACACCCCTGGGGGCCCAGATAAAGATGCTGGTGGCCGTGCAACAGCCATGATATCTTCAGAGTAATCACAAGCTTTGCCTTCTCCTCAGGCTTCCTCTAGTTCTACTCAGATGGCAGGTGGCTGCTCCAGGGCAGGGGGTCAAGTTTACACTGTGGCTTCAAGGGGCCCCTGTGTGGCTGTGCCACATATCACTGAGGTCAGGGGAGATGCTAGTCTTTTGGGATCACACAGTAGGGCTGATCAATTAGAACCCCCTTTTCCTCTTAGCAAAAGTTCAGGAGGCAGAACATGTAAGTCCTAAGAGGGGAGGTCCAGGAAAGAAATACAGCACACCAGCCCTTTTTAACATCAGGCTGGGAGGTTCCTGGAGGCTGGCACAGCCCCAGCTGAACCTGGGATACCCCCCTCCCGTCAGGACAGGCAGTGAGGGCAGCCCTCGCCTCAGCAGCAGACATGGCAGCACTGGCAGACAGGGGCCCAGCTCACGCTTGGCTGTGGTCCTGACCCCGACTGACCTGCCTGGCCTTGCCTCCTGCCAGGAGCTGCCCTCCCTGGGCATTCCTGCTGAGCCCCCACCATGAGTGTCTGGCCTGGTGGAAATCACATCAGCCTCTCTCCTGGACTCCTCAGCCAGTTGGTTGGCTCCCAAATCTAGGAATCTACCTTGATTGTTCCCTTTCCCTCAACCTCTGCCATCCACCAGTGTCCAGGGGCCAGCTCTCCACATGTACCTTAACCCTGTCTACCTCCATGGGCATCAGCCAGCTCTGGGCCATTGCAGCTACCTCCTGATGGTCTCCCTGCCTCCACGTCTGCCCACATTACATTCATCTCCAGAAAGTGGCCAGATGCAGGACCACCCTCCAGTTCCCCATCACATTCAGAAAACTGTCCTTCCTCACCCAGCCCCCACCTACCTCTCAGACCCACTTGCTGCTTTCCGCCCCCTGAAGGTGCAAGTTCACTCCTGTTGTCCTCCTAGCTGGCCTGCCCTTTCTTACCTCCTCACATGGCTGGCCCCTGCTCATCTTTTGGATTGCTGCTCAAATGTTACCTTCTCAAGACACCTTCCCTGACTGCCCATCTAGAGAGCCCTCTCCTGCCCAGCCTCCTGTGAGGTTGCCTCTTATTTTCCTTGGGGCACTCATCACCATCTGATGTGCTGGCTGTAGGTCCACTGGGGCAGGGGAGTCACTCCGACTTCTTTAGCCCTGTATCCATGGAGGAGCCCAGGGCTTGGCACACAGGGTCCATGCCCCTCAGTCCTGACCCAGCCACACCCCCAAGTGCCAAGTGAGGAAGGGCGCGGGGGACGAGGAAGGGACTGGGTAGAACACCAACCTTCACTCACTGCCCCAGGATAAGCCTTCCTCTGACTGACCCAGCATCCTAACCAGACAGCATTGTAAACATGGAGTGCCCCAGGATTCCTGCCACTTTGCTTTGCTTGCATTTAAAAACAAAGTCTATTTTTCTCATGATGAGAGCACATCATTATAGATGATTTGGAAACTGCAGAAATGACAAGCAAAGGCCACTCAGCGCTCACAATCACTAGTTTCTTTTGTGCACTCCTCCTTCCTCAGCCCAGCTAAGAGCATTCTTTGCAGTCATGCACACTGGTTTTCTCACGTCCCACAGCCAGGCAGCCCCCAGTTCCCATGACTGCTTCCTGAGCTCCGTGTTTGGAAGCTCTGGAACCCGTCGCCTGAGCCCAGTCACCAGGCCCGGGATGGAGGCTGCACTGCTGACAGCTCCCAGTGATGCCAATGCTGGCCGGGGACACACTCTGATGCCTGTTTGCAGGGGGCTGATGTGTGACAGAGAAAGAGCCAAAGCGGCACCTCTGCTCCCTGCACGTTGTTTCTCTTCTCACCCCCGGTCACTATCCCTAGCAAGTACCCTGGATTCTTTTGGAAATACCACCTCTTACTGGGAACCCTCCTGCTAAAAACCTCGCAGGGCTCCTCGCCGTCTTCCAGATAAATCTGAGTTCTTGGCCTGGCATTCAAGGCCCTCCCTGGATTGGCCCCAGCCTCCCTCTTTACCCTCTGCCTGCTCTGCAATTCTGGACGAACCCTCCCAGGCTGGTTGATGCACCCAGAACCTGGGGCATGTCCCACTCCACCCCTCTGGGCCTCTTCAAGTGACGATCTGCTCACTGGGAGTGCCCTCTGCCTCCGGCCTCGCTGGGCCCTCTTCCTCTCAGCTGCAGCCTGCAACCCCTTCCTTCTTCAGTCTTCAACAGTGTGTCCTCAGGGCCTTTCATCTGGCCCACCAGGACTGGGTACCCAGAGAATTAAACCTGGCCCCTGCCAGGAGCCTGCAGGACCAGGGGTGGGGAGACAGCCTTGCTAGGAGACATTTGAGATGTGGTAAGGGCGGTGCCAGAACCTGTCCAGAAAACTTGCAGGGAAGGCAGTGACTCACTTTTCCTGGGTCAGGTCAGAGTCTGCTGCCCTCGCCTGGCTTCCAGGACCCCTTCCCCAGTTCTGACCACACCTGATGCTTGTGGACTCACCTTCCTCCCCCAGTCCTGGGGCCCTGGGCTCAGCCTCTCAGGCCTGGTGGCCCTGCCTGCTTCCTTGCTGCTCACTGCAGGGAGTGGCACCAATGGGTGCCAAAGAGGCTGCTACACCCTTTGCTGCCCTCTGGGGTCAAAGCCCAAGAAGGGGGTAGGGGAGCTGAGAGTGAATGCCAGAGGAGCGTGGTCTGACTTACCTGGTCAAAGAGCTGGTGCTGGGCCAGGTACCCGACGTTCCTTGGCTAGTCCATGGGAGAAAAACCAGAGGTGACACAGAAAGCCCGTTAGTGTGAGATGGACGCCCTCCAGGGGCTACTACTGTTTAGCTGGGTCTCAGCACCTGCATGCTCCTGCCCTAGCCCTGGGCAGCAGCCCCGATGGCCCTTCTCGGTCCTGCTGGTCCCCCTCCTCCGGCCCATGGGCTTATATGATCTCCCTCCTGAGCAGGACTGGCTGCTGGGGGAGACTAGGGGTCTGGTGCTGCCCCTGCCACAGAGGTTGCCCGGAGTTTGTCACCCTGTACCCCAGGGCTCAGTTTCCTCAAATTGAAAACGAAGGGGCAGGCCCTAGCCTGGTAGGTCATTTGGTTAGAGCATTATCCCTATATACCAAGGTTGTGGGTTCAACCCCTGGTCAGGGCACATACAAGAATCAACCAATGAATGCGTAAGTGAAATAAAGTATCAATGTTTCTCTCTCTTCCCTGCTCTAAAATCACTTTTTTAAAAAAAGGGCAGATACGTTTGTTGGATCATTCCTTTCTGGCGGTGGACTCCGCCGAGTCAGCATCGTTGGAGTCTCCCTTCTCACAGTCATCGCATCTAAGTCCGAGTCTCACCAAGAGCCGGGACAGCTGCAGAACCTCTTTATTGGAGGTTTGAGCTTTGAAACAACCCGTGAGTCTGAGGAGCCACGTTGAGCCACGTGGAAGCTCACAGACTGTGGAGATGAGATCAAACACCAAGCGCCCCAGAGGCTTTGGGTCTGTCACGTGGGCCGCTGTGGAGGACATGGATGCAGCCACAAATGCAGGGCCACGCGAGGTAGAGGGAAGTGTGGAGCCGAGAGGGCTGTCCCAAGAAGAGTCTCAAAGACCTGGTGCCCACTTTCGTCGGGGTACTGAAGATGACACTGGAGATGTCACCTAAGAGGTTTTTTGAACAGTGTGGGAAAGCTTAAGTGATTGAAATCATGACTGACCAAGGAGTGACAAAGAGAGGTTTGCTTTTGTAACCTTTGATGACCATGACTCTAAACAAGGCTGTCATTCAGAAATACCATACTGTGAATGGCCACAACTGTGAAGCAAGCAAGAGATGGTTAGAGCTTCACACAGCCAAATAGGTCGAAGTGACCGTGGAGGTGGTTTTGGTGGGAATGACAGCTTTGGTTGTAGCTGCGGTGGTGGTGTAGGTATGGTGGCAGTGGGGATGGTTGTAATAGATTTGGTAATGATGGAAGCAATTTTGGAGGTGGTGAAAGCTACAATGGTTTTGGTAACTACAACACTCAATCTTCAAATTTTGGACCTATGAAAGGAGGAATTTTGGAGGCAGAAGCTCTGGCCCCTGTGGTGGTGGAGGACAATACTTTGCCAAACCACGAAACCAAGGTGGCTTTGTCGGTTCCAGCAGCAGCAATAGCTATGGCAGTGGCAGGTTTTAATTCCTGCCAGGAAACAAAGCTCAGCAGGAGAGGAGAGCCAGGGAAGCTACCAGTTACAACAGATTTGTGAACTCAGCCAAGGAGAGTGGTGGCAGAGCCCAGCTGCTACAAAGAAGACATATTCTAGACAATACTCATGTGAATGGGCAAAAACCTCGAGGACTGCATTTGTGACTGGTTATTTTAGGTTCTGTTCTGTGGAAAGTGTAAAGCATTCCAACAAAGGGTTTTAAAGTAGATTTCTTTTTTATCCATGCTATTGATTGCTACATGGAATCATCTGATCATGACACTGAATAAATGTCTTTTATCAAATATGTCATGTAGTCCACTCTGAAGTCCAATCTTGGTAAATTATCCCAACAGTGTGAAGTCAGAATTCCTTCAGGGTGATGCCAGGTTCCATTTGAAACTTATTTACAACCTTCTGAAGCCAGTGTCTTCAAAAACTTTGGTGTAGCTGAATTGATAGTGACTATGTTGTGACCTGGAGTTCACCATTAAAAGTGTCACCCAAGCGGAGTCATGGAGTTATGTGGTTATCAATTACTGTTGGCACATCCTATGCAATATATCTAAACTGAATTATAGTACCAGATAAAATTATAGATGAGAATGAAGCCTGTGTATCATCCACTATCATGTGTGATCAATAAACGATTTAATACCCTCTTAGGAAAAAAATGAAAGGGCTGTACACATGATTTTAAAAAAATATAAATGGAATCATACTATATTACTTTAAAATCTGCTTTTTTCATCTAGGAATACATTATAAATCTCTCTTCAAGTCGATACATATGTGTCAGACTCATTCCTTTGATGGATACATGTGTAGACAGACACGTTATTAAACTCACCTCTCCCCCTATTGGTGGACATTGGGGCTGTTCTGCCCATTTGGGTTGTTTTGCCAGTGTTTCAATAAACAGCCTAATATTCTGGTCCTTATATTCGTGCACATCCAAAAGTAGGCCAATTGAGTCAAGAAGTATGCATTTTAAATTTTCATAGCTCTGCCAGGTTATCTTCCTCGAAGTTAAATAACTTACACTCTTTCCAGGATTCACTGTGAGTGCCCATTTTCCCACATCTTTGGAGATTATCATTGTGTGAAAAGGTCAGCTTCTTACACAGAGCTCCACGCCAGGGCTTCTCTGCAGGTTCCCACGGCCTCCCTGAGGACCCGCGGGGGCGGAGCTGGCTTTGGTCTCATGGCTCTAAGGCTGAAACGGGGAAGTAAAGAACCAGGATTCCTGGAAAATCTGTCTTTCTGCTTCTCTCCTTCATTCCCTTTTCCTTCGGACAAACACTGAGAGTTCACAAAATGCCAGGCCGCATGCTAAGCGCTGGGCAGGGCCAGATGTGATGTGACGCGAGGACACCACCTGCACCACAGGTAAGCCAGCGCTGCTCGGGCCGTGCTTAGAGTTCCACGTGTTACCCTCGCAGCGCCCCTATGAAGCATCGGTAACCTCTCACTAACCCCTACGCACCCTAACTAACCAAAAGTCGGCACTGACACAGCCAGGACCAGCGCTGGATCCTGGGCTAGGCCTGAAGCCGCAGCGCACATCCCGCCCGCTGCCCCTGGTTACGCCTTTGCCAACCCCCAGGTTTCTCCCCAGCGGATGGAGACTGCGGACCTCGCACGCCTACAAGCAGAGGCAGCTCGTCTCCAGGCCAGGCTCCCCTTTCCAGGCCTCCACGTGACAGTGAACTGAGCAGAGACGGGGGTAGGGGAGGAACGCAGGGGAAGCAGCAATGAAAGGATGTCTGGGCGCAGTCCCGGAGGCGCCTACAGCACAGTGAACCCGCCAAGCCAAGTGCCCGCGGAGGAGGCTGGAAACGCGAGTGCTGGAGACGGGATCAAGAAAGGTGACTGGGCCGTCCCTCAGGAGTTCAGCCACAACGTTGGGAAGGCCCGGAGGAGAAACTTAGCTCCCATGGTCACAGACCTGGACCCGCTGATTGCAGCAGACCCATGACCAAGTCCGGCCGGGGCTTTACAGAGCCGGGCGGGCTGCTGGGAGTGTGGAAGAGCTGCAAGGCACTGACGCTGACTCCCACACCTGGTCAATGACCTTGCCCACCACTGATTGGGTGCACATGGGTGCACATCCCTCCCCTGAGGGTCTGTGCACCCACTTACAGGCTCTCTGCTCCCAGCCAGCAGGGACAGTTCAGGCACCTCCGCAGACAACCTGCATTCTCTGCCACCCCGCCCTTACTGTTAAGAATCTGAAATGAGAAAAGGGTGCAGCTGCTTTAGAAAACAGTTTAGCAGTTCCTCAAAAGTTAAACAGAGCTGCCACGTGGAGTTACCACAATTCCACTTAGTATATACCTAAAAGAAACAAAACCCTATGTTCACACAAAAACGTGTACACGAGTGTTCAGAGTTGTTTTCTTTTTCTAATCCTCACCGAGGTTATGTTTTTATTGATTTTAGAGAGGGATACAGAGGAGGGAGAGAGAGACATCAATGTGAGAGAGAAATATCGATTGGTTGTCTCCCATATGTGCCCCGACCAGGGATTAAACCCACAACCTAGGTATGCTCCCTGACTGGGAATTGAACCCACGCCTTTGTGATGTTCTGGACGAGGCTCCAAGTAGCTGAGCCGCCCAGCCAGGGCTATAGCAGCATTTTTTATACCAGCCAAAAGCGCACACAACCCAAATGGATATCACCTGATAAATGGACAAAATGTGGTCTCTCCATACAACTGAATATTACCCAGCCGTAAGAAAAAATGAGGCAGTGCACTGATAAATGGTACAACAGAGATGAACCTTGAAAACCTTGGTGCTCAGTGACGGAAGCCAGACACCGAGGGCTACATATTGTATAACTCCATCTATAGGAAATGTCCAGAAGTGGCAAATCCATAAACAGTAAGCAGATTAACAGTTGCTGAGGGACAGGGGTGAGGGGCGTGGGGAGTTACTATTACTTAGTTTGGGGTTTCTTTGGGGTGACAAAAATGTTCTGGAATTACATAGTAGTGATGGTTGCATTATCTTAGAATATACTCGAAACCACTGAAATGTACAACAAAAATTTTTGAAATGAGTCCCTCATGTCCTGTCTGCCCACCTGCCTACCCAGCAGCCTGCCTTTCTGGCTGTGGCCAGCCTCCTAACTGCTTAAAGACTGATTACTCCAAAACCTTCCAGTGCAATGCACGAGCTTATTTGCTCAAAGGTAATGTGTTTTCCCCCTTGTATGTATTAGGAGAAAGGAGTCAGAAAGACATACCTCATTCAGGATGTATTTGCTGATGAACTCACTGACCGTCATGAGTCTCTGGGACCATTCCTCATCTGTGTACCTGGAGCCCACTTCCACTGGGACAGTTCGGCAGCCAGCAATTTCTTGGATATACTCCAAACTATTAGAAAAGTATGCATCGTCATTTCATCACTATTGCCAGTGCTTGCTGGGCAATGTGATAGACCTGGAGATCTTCAGCAAGTTACTTAACCTTGCTGAGTCCTTGCTCACCACCGCAAAATGGCGGTGACAATGCTCCAACCCCTGAGCCACTTGGCCAGGCTGTCAGTTCTTGTTTAACCCTTGGCCACCCACCCCAGGGCCCAGTAGAGACCTGTCCAGGGGTTGTGTGACTGGGGGATGGTGGGGGAGGAGTGCAGGAAACTTTGGGAATGCTAAAATGGGAGGGAAAACCTCTGGCTCTCGGCAGCCACCCACCTCCACTTCTTCATGCACGGCCAATGGTCGGCCACGCCTTGCAAGATCACAGGCCTCTGTGGAATCAAATAGTGCTTCCTGAAGTACTGGAGGGATGGACAGGAAAGCCGGGGAACTGCTTTTTCTGAACTCATATCTGGAATTGAAACATGACCACTCCTGGCTTTCTGTTTAAAATCAAAACAAAACAAAATGGCAATCACCAAGGAGAGATGTGCTTTGAGGCACTTCCCTAGGAATCTGCATCAGCGGCAGGCACTTAGGTGTCATGAATATTAATGAGTTAACCTGTATCATCGTTACTGCTGCTGCTACTGCTTACTTCTCATGAGAGCAAGATCTTGTTTTCTTTACCAAGTCATGTCAAATGTTTGTTCAATTATGAAAGTAACAAGTTGCTTTCACAGAAATTCTGCAACAAAGGAACACTTCCTGTCCCACGCACCACCATCTAAAGTCAGAGCGTTCCTCTCCCACCTTCTCCAGACACAGCCCTGATCCATGGGCAGTAACAAATAGGCAACTCTGCCTCTTCCATCCAATGACTTATCTAAAGCAGCGTCCCTGTTACCACCAGTTCTTGCAACGTCTCAGGAGTGGTTGCATCATAATTTAATCATCTACCAACTGACCAACCTGAGTAAGTTACTGTCTCTGAGCTTTAGTCTCCTCCTCTGTTAAACTCCTGGGAGACAGCTCCCATGTGTAAAGTACCCAGGATGACTGCCTGGCATGTGTCAGCATCCTCTGCCACCTCTGCTGGACCCCAGGCCAGCCCTCCACAGCTGCAGCAGTGCAGCCAACACCCTTCCCTGCACGTGAGCACAGGGCTGTGCAACTGCCTGGTCTCGTCAGTCCCAACCCTCATCTATGGCAGACTTTTATGTTCACATGTCCCTCATCAAGGAAGGCTTCCCTGAGCACCCTCCATGAAGCTGCCTTCCTCCACTTTTTACAGCCTCACTAGACTGTCAGCGCCAGAAGACAAGGTCTGGGTCTTTCTGTACCATCACTTAGTGGCCAGCACATCTGGGCCACCACTGGTGCTCAATAAAGCTGCTGAGCAAATCCCCTCTTATAGGCAAGGGAACAGGAGGGTGCAGAAGGGCTGATACTTGCCTGACTCAGGTAGTAGATGGCAGCATGGGAACTTGAGCCCAGGCAGGCTGGCTCCAGAGCCTGAGCTCTCAGGCCCTTAGCTATATACAGTGCCCCAAACCACCCAAGCCATGAATACCAGCCTGGGCGTGAAGTCACCTTCACATGCTTTTGGGACAGACTTAGCATGGGAAAGGGCACTGTAAGCCCTGGGTCAAAGCAGACAGGTATTTGTCTCTTGATCTGCATGTTTGCCCTGCCTTCTCAGGGTCAGTGAATACACTATGTCCATGGCACCCCTGGATATTGTATAAAACCTTGTTAATTTCACAGCTAAAAATGACTGCCTGTTTTCATATTTTTTAAAACCAGAAATGAGGTCAAACATTTCCCACTTCTTTAATAGATGCTTCCTCCTTGTGAACGCACTTGCCCAGGGGTACTTTGTGAGGTCTGTGTGTAGCACTGGCATAGAAACCTTTTCAGTAAACCACGCTCAGTGTCTCAGACTACCCTTTGCCATGTGCACTTAAAATACCAGTAAGGACATGTGCAAGGATATACAGCCAAGTGACCAGAAGATAGCTAGTTGTGGTATCTCCCCCAAACTCAGCAGTGCAGAGACACAGGCAGCCAAAAAAGCGGGTGATACTTCAACCAGCTGACCAAGAAGCTGAAAGAGATGGGCTAACTGGCTGTAGCTCTCACCCATACAATCCCTGTGAGCTGCTTCTCTCAGGAACCACAAAGCTGCCCCTCCCACCTCTCCTAAAAGGGCACTGCTTCTGCAGAAACTGGAAGAAAAAGCTGAGAAAATAGATGGAACTGTTCTATTTCCAAATAATGGAGATGCTATTTTCAGCCAGAGAGGTCAGCATGCCAAGGCCTCACCTGAAGGGAGGGGTGACTTGTTACTTCTAGAAAAATAGGGCTGTTAGATTACATTAGGCGTGGTCACTGACAATCCCATCAAGATACCTTTATGTGGGGCTGCTCCTGGGCCAGGCCTTGGGCAGGCCTTTTTCCAGGAAGGAGGTGCGTCTGGAGGACGGCAACTACTTTAATGAGAATATCCTCAAAGATGGCTGCTCCCATCAGTAGGCCCATGTCACAGACTCTTAGGGCTGCCACCCCGGAGCTAGGGTTCCCAGGAGCTTCACACAGACACATGGCTTTCAGAAGGCAGCCGAAGGCATAAACCCGACGCCAGTCTTTGTCCACATCCTGCCACAGCCCGGTATTGAGTTTCTCCCAGGAGTAGTCAAGGATTGCCTCGCTTGTGTGCAGACACTCGCCACTTCTGCCCTGGTAAAAGAGGTCGGTGGCCTGCTGCAGCAGCAGCAGCACACTCCTCTCCATGTTCTCACTGAGGTCCAACTTCAGTTCTTCTTTAGTTCGGGGCAGGAGTGCCCTGAGGGCCTCCTGGAGAGCCCCAGTTCCCGCCAGTGTGTCTTGGTTGCTGTCTTTTGCCATCAGGCCCACTGCCAGCTCAGTCTGAGTGCTGGTGGAGGAACAAATAAAAGTTATAGCAAAACACCATGGTGGACACTTGAATTCATACAATTTTATTTTTAGTAAATAAAACTAGAGTGAAAAAGCTAGATCTGTGATGACATCCAGTGGCCAAAATGTCAACCACCGAGAATTAGAAAACATATAGAGAGGGAGACCATGTACAGACTTGGTCCCCTATAGGTTCCTGCGCTTGTCCTTTGTAACACACATCTCATCTGTGATGATTCTTCAATAGTGGTCTTCTCTGCTAGGCATAAACTCTGGGAGGGCAGGGCCCCCATCTGTCTGGGGTCATCACTGTATCTTCAGGGCCTGGCGCAACACCAGGCATGTAGTGGGCATAGGAAAAATATTTGTTCAGAGAACATGTATGGTCCTTGCCTGATATACTTCCAACATCCCTCCTCTCTGGCAAACCTATCCAACCTTTAGGCCCATCTTTAGTGATCTTCTACGTGAAGCCTGCCAAGACTCTTTGACAGTGTTTTGTGTTCCAATGGTCCTGGAGCTTCTTTCATAGCAGTTGTCACATGTACCACGAACACCTGCTTACATGTCTCTCTCTAATGCTAGCTTGTGAGCTCTTCCAGGGCAAAAACATTTCTCTACACTTCCCTGGAGCCTACAAGCAATCTGGCTCAGAGTAGACACTCAAGGTTATTGAAAAAATAAGATCTTAACTTCTCAGAAGAAACTAGAAATACATTAAACCTATTCAGAAGGGAAAAACATCACAGATGGTGCCTCTGGTAACATGACCCTGGGCACTACACATGGATGGCAGGCCAGTCCTTAGGTAGTATTAACATGTGAATAGGTTCTGCTCAAAATTATGATGATATATATGTAATGACAAGTCATAAAAAATGATATATATTTACAAGTCATAAACTGGAGTTATTCAAGGCAAATTGAGACCTATGGTCAACCTAAATATAGGCCATATGAAGAAGTGGCTTTGTCTTTTCACTTAAAAAGTTTCCTAGAGCTCGACAGTACTGGCTCTAAAAGACATTATTGGTCATAGGCTTTTTCAAAAGGTGGTGAGGGTGAAGACTTCAGGTATAGAAAGAGCCCCAGTAGTCTTGTGTCCCGGCTTTATAAACTAGCCTTCCAGAGTGCCACCTTTATGGGCCTCATGACGGCCTCAGGGGAAGATCAGGTACAGGTTGCATAAAACAGCTTTTCTCAGTGGCTGGTGTCTTGGCTTCTTACATGAAGATCTGTTGGTGTATAAAACAACAATCTTGGAAAGGGGGATAGATCAAGGTTGTATCAGCTAACCTCTGAGTGCCTTTTTTCTTGGCTTCATAAATCAGCCTACTGTGACCTTTATAAAAGGCTTCTTATTGGTCACATTAAACATCATCCAGAGTGCACAACCTAAGCCGGCCCTTGGTTAGCTGTAAACAGCCCAAATGGGTTCCTACTTGGTTATAAGACACAACCTTGTAGGAAGCCACCAGTCATCCCAGAATTCTCTTAAATTATTATTTTTTTAAAAAAAATCTTTGATTTCAGAGAGGAAAGGAGAGGGAGAGAGAGAGAAACATCAATGATGAGAGAGTCATTGACCAGCTGCCTCCTGCACGCCCCCCATTGGGGATGGAGCCGGTAACCGGGGCATGTGCCCTGACTGGGAATCGAACCCCGATCACCTGGATCCTAGGTCGACGCTCAACCGCTGAGCCGCGCCCGGCAGGGCTCTCTTAAATTATCTTTAAATATCTAAAGCACTTCCCAGAGTAGTCTGTACACTGGCTGGGTGAGACGGCTTCTTGGGGAACCTCACCCCGATTCCCAGAGGGAGTGCGATCAGATCAGCCGTATGAACAGCGCATGGAGCCTCAGGCTGCGCTGGGTCAGGACACTCCTCTCCCTGGCTGTCTGGGAACAGGCTGCCCAAGTAGTTTTGTAATTTCTCCAATTGTATTCTGGCAGCATCTCACAGAAACTGCAAAAACGAGAGCTTTCTGGAGAGCTCTCTGCAAAACCTTCCAGAAAGCTTAATTCACCGGAGCAGGGTACCTTTCGACACTGAGGGTCCTTATGACTGATTAAACGTAGTTCCAGTCCTAGAAAGCATACCCTCCCCTCTACCTACCCCTCAGAGACCCGGCCTGTCCCCTGGATAATCGGGACAC